AACTATTATGTATATCAAAGTTGTTGACATATATGTTAATTAGCTGTTTTGAAAACTTGTTTGTAAAAAGTCTATTGAAAAATATAATTTGTTGCAACCTGCTGGATGCCTTGTTGGCTTGGAGTTTTTTCTTGTTAGTGTTTTCTAACAGTTATAAACAAATACTAAAGAAGTTTTGTTATGAATATTCAAGGGAGGCTAGGGGAGTTAAAGGGGGAAGTGTGGAATTTTTTGAGCAAATGCACCTATTAATGAGTTCTTACAAATGGAAAATATAGCTTGTCTTAAATATCTTCGAACACAAAAACTTCATTGTCTGGGCTATATTTATTGTTTGTATATTGTATTTGTAGAATGTACTGGCTCATTGTTTATTCCACATATGTTAAATATAAATATTAATTGTATTCCAGTTACTTTCATAAGCTCCAACTTTTTAACCTTGTAGATATTTTCAATTAATTAAATTCAAAGTTTCTATTAATTCAAGGGTTTATTATTCTGTTCATACATATTTACCGAAAACTTAATAGTGCAGCTGAGCTGAATGTAGCTAAGTCAGCTTCCAAAACCGAATCAAAGGTTTTTATTGAAAGGCTGGTCACCAGAGCTTTGGCTCTGTTTTGAAGCTACGCTGAGCTTCCACCACCACACCTACGCACCACTCCCTCACAACCGTGTGGCTTTGTTCCTCAGTGTCATCCTTTCTTTTCCGCTTGTTTTCACTGCACAACCTCTCAAATTATTTTATTTTGGTTCAGTGTAAAATATGCAATGGATGTGGAAGAATTCTTAATCGAATGTGTAAGGGAAAATATTCGATTTTATACACAAATATTTGGTTTTTCTTTTCAACTCTGACATGATCAACTTCGCTAGTTTTTAAAAATGTTATATATGCTATATGTATTTTTACTTTCACTTACCTATATATGAAATATATTGTAAGGTAAGTAAGTATTGCGATCGTGAAAATTTTCGAATCTGAGTTTTCAACGGAAATACATGTTTTGAGGTCTCCTGAGTCCAAATAACCAAGTCCCACAAAATGGTCTGTGTGTATGTGAACAGTCTAGCTCAAAAACGAAAAGTCGTACGAAACTGATATTACGTATTTAAGATAGGTATATGCCTTAGATGTTACAGCAACTTTTTCCTTAAAATCGGCTAACCGGAAGTGCCACTTTATATCAACGGTGAAACACATTTTTACAATTTTCTCAAAAACGGCTCAACGATTTTGATTAAACTCGGTGTATCATTGTATAATTAAGTGATCTTCAATATCATTTAGGTCTTATCCCGATTGATGTCACTTTACAGGGCTTAAATGCCCAATGTTCATATACGTCTTCCTCTAAAGTACCTTTAATATGGTTTATTTAAAAAAATTAACTCTCTTTTATTGACAGTAACTATAAAAAAATGCTAAATATGAAGTTTGAAAGAATATGATAATTGGAAACTGGAGAAATAAAAAAAAAAAAATGCTTATCCAGGTTGAAAATGAATTTCGGAAATTACAGTCAGAAGGTATACATATGATATATCGTTGGAAAAACGAAGAATTTTAGAAAAAATAATATCAAATAAATAAAGTTGGCAAAAAAATATAAATAATAATTTAAAAAAATTAACATTACTAAATGTAAACTTGTAAATTTTTTCTAAGTTTGAAAAAAAAATTTTAAATTCACCGAATCATGCCAATGCCATTGTTTAAAATACTATTTAATTGTACTTGTGTGAAAGAAGAAATATAAAATATAAAAATATTTCATGGAGTTTTAATAACTCTAGATATGATATTATATTTAAATAATTAGGTATCTATTGGCTGTTTATTCCAAAAAATCATAAAGTAACTTTTTAGAAAATTAAATTATTGGATAATTTGAGGAATTTTCCCTTTGTGAAATCCCAACATGATCCACTTACAATTAGTGTGACAACTTTTGACCTATCCATGGCAGGCAATGAAAATCTTGTAATTTTATTTTAGTAAACTTTACAATGGAAAATAACAGTTTAATAACTAATAGTCCTACAATCACATAATCATTTATAGGTTAAATATTCACATGTACTTTCAAATTTCTCTAGGCATATATGAGCCTTTCGGTTGACAGAATGATTAATTCTAATTTCAACATTCTTTATTATTAATTTTAGTGATGTTCCTAGTGGAAAAATGTATACCTTTATTCACAGTTCTATATTTCAACATTCCAATCACCTACTCTGGAATCAAGTTCTTCACTGTCTGTATAGATATAACTTTTCCAACTAGAAATATCACTAAAATGACATTACTCAAAAATGTTGAAATTGGAGTTAGACTGAAAGGCTCTGAGACTGAAGTTAAGTGGTTTATAAAACTAGATTTTTAATGCCTACCGTCGATATAATAAATAGACTTTTTGTAATTTTAATGGTCTTAATGATTTGTTATCTGTAAGCTTTAAGCTTTAGCTCCGTTTAAAGTGCACTTCAAAAATTTTATAATAGCCCAACATTGCCAAAATAATTTAATTTAATAATAAAAAAATAATTTATATTCAAAATAGAGGGGTAAGTGAAAGTTGTGTGTTGGGCGTATCAGATTTTTTAAAAATGTTATAAGGATTATGAAAAGGATACTGATACAAGGCAAGTTGCTGATTGACCAGTGCTCCACTACGCAATCGGTTACCGACCCCCTCTTGCTACGCTCAGCTCATATATAATAGGTTGACACCATCTAGCTTATGCTGTTGATGTCGTAAAAACAGCAAGAAATATAACAGAATTAGCAGAGGCACTTAAAGAATTTGAAACAGGAGCAAAAGAACTAAGGCTAAAAATAAATGAGAAGAAGACTGTTTACATGCAAACTTCAAGAACGCTGAGTGGAACAGAGGAGTATGTCACAATAGGTGATCACACCTCGAAAACTGTATAAATTTTTAAGTATTTAGGTCATGTGTTTCATGTCATTATATCCATGTGCGAATTTACCAGATGTATTTTTTGTATACACTTGTAAATATCATATAAATAAATAAATAAAAAAGTATTTAGGTGCTTTACTTACAGAAAGTAATGAAATGACAGAAGAATTGAAATCAACAATGGCTGCTGGGAAAAGATGCTGTTTTGCTCTCTCTCTTATAGAAATAAAGCAGCTGCAGAAATCATTATTATTTATAAATCACTGATTATATTTGAAATGGTTGCTTATGAAGAATTTTATGAGCTTATGAAGAATTTGAAATGGTGAAATGGTCTGCTACTCATCATCAAATACGCATAAATGGAATAATTAAATATTTAAATAGAAGTGCTATCGAAACGTTTTTGGGATAGTGTTTTGAAAGTATTAATAAGCCCATATTAATGAAATAATTTAAATACCCAAAGAAGGAACTAAAAAAATATTGCTGCTCAACTGTGAAGAGTTGCGACATTATTCTCATCAATCAACAGATAATATTAAAAAAATAAATAAGAGAGTTAGGTTGGACCATTGGAGTACATACCAAATATGCCACGAATGGTTTATAGAATCAAATAAGCGAAGGGCAAGATCAATATTTGTGTTGATGGAGGATTCCTAATGAGTCCAAAATAATAGTTTCTGCCATGGTATGCATTTGCTCCCTTCCAACACCAAGCCTCTGCAAGAAATTACCTCTTACTACAAGTAATTTCTTGTGATTTTTCTTAGAAACCATTTCAAATATCTTAAAAATAATCAGTGATTTATAAAGAATTATGATTTCTGCAGGTGCTTTATTTTTAGATTTTCTTTTTTATTGTTGGCTGGTTAATTTACTAAAGTAACTTAATTTTCAACTTTCGTGACAGGACTTAAAAAAAAAATAAAAATTGACTTTACTGTTTTTTTTTTTTTTTTGCCTAAGCAAACTATTTGTTTATATTTTTTATGTTTTATGATTCTTTGACAATCTAGCTTTAATAAAAGACCTATTAAATTGAATTAAGCCAAAAGATGAATGTCAGTCAAATTTGTTAGTCTGGCATATTTGAATGCCATTTTGTAGGACATTGTAATCACTTAGTATTTTGGAAATATTGTTTTTTTAAATTAATAGTTGTAAGGAACAGAACAATATGCAATTTATAGTGATGTGTGGGGAAGGAGGAGGTGCTACACAAAAATGGGCTCTGTACCACATAGTATTACAACATTTCTGTAGCTGGTTGATCCAATGAGTCATGTACACAGGCCACATATAATTTTGAAGGAAACATGTATGTATGCATTTCCAGGAGGTGGCTATGTGGGTCTCTGAAGTTGAAATAAAGCATTGTATCCACAGGCAATGAGCTTATGAAGAATTGGAGAAGTGATAAAATTTCTGGAGTTTCTGAACATTGCCCACACACTGTACTAGCTTTTAACCAGAACTTGTGTTTTCAGATTACCACCAGTTGGTCCAAAGAATTATTGAATTGTATTAGCAACTATAAACTAAATAAATTTATAAATAATAGGAAATTAATTTTCATAAATGAACTTATTTATAAAAAATATGCACATGGATAGAAAAAACTTATTAATTTAATATATAACAAAATAATATTTTACTCTTTGTGCTTAGCCTGCACGTCAATGTATGTTGTTGGCTGTAACTTAACACTAATGCTCTTAACTAAAAATGAAACAAGCTTTTTTAATTTGTGTTAATTGAGTTTTAAACATAATTTATTTATACATTCTTCTTTATTTATACATAATTCTGAGGTAATTTATGAGGAGCTTTTAAAATTCTGAATAACCCTATTTCATTTCTATAATATTTATTTTTGTTGTGACAATGCTGGATGTAATACCATGATGAATATCTACAATGTATTTTTAAATGTAGGCTAACAAAATAAATGCTACTATAATATATAGTATGTGTTTATTCATGGCAATCCTGACCAACTTCTCCTTAAATTAATTTTTGTTGCTTGATGGAAATAGTTATTTAGAATTCATTTTTTTTTTTTAGATCTAATATTCAAGGACAGCAAGATGCCATTACCAGAGCAAATAGACTCGGCAGCTCAGCAATACTGTTTAAGATGGAAGTATCATCATTCTAATTTGCAAGTTATGTTTGCTCAGTTGCTTGAAAGAGAAAGTTTTTGTGATGTAACTCTAGCATGTGAAGGAAGGACACTTCGTGCTCACAAGGTAAAATTGTTTATTTAAAATAAGTTTATTCTGATCTTGTGGACTTGACAATTGTTTAAAAACTCATGTTTTTATCAAATTTTAAAGGGTCTTTTGAAATTACTATCTGTACTCATTTCTTTATTTTATTTAATTGTTATGATTTCCAAATCATCATCTCTTTTATATTTTGCTCAAAAACCAATTGATTTTTATTGATCCAGCTTTGAAAATTTGCACACTAGATGGCAAAAGGTTATTGATAATCAGGGTGATTACATCATTGATTCAAAATAAGAACTCATTAAAAATTTATGTGTTTGAATTTAAGTAAGAAAATGACATTATTTGACATTACTTTCCGGTCTCCCTAATATTATGAGCTGCTAAAACCTGGCTTTTGCCTTCTATTGGGGTATTCATTGTTACGTAGAGGCTTCTAGATGGATTACAATGAGCTACATGCACCACCCATCTTAATCTGTGTACCTTCATATCATCGGATATTAATTGACTAGTTTCTGTTAGCAGTTCTTTATTAGTCTTTCTTCTCCGTGTGTTAATACTCCGATCCCAGATTGCTCCGTTTATCGTGTGGAGGATTTTTCTCTCAAATCTTTCAATATTTTTTTCTAGGGTGTTGGTTAGTGTCCAGGTAGGTCTCAGCCTTATATTAGAACTGGCTTTCTCATAGCATTGTACATCCTTAACCCTTTGACGGCGATACCTCATAACGATTGTTTCTTCCCAACGATGGGTCCCGAAATCTAAAAAGACGTTCAGAAAAATGGATTTTTTTATCCCTTCAATTTGTTTAAAATACTAATTTGATTTGAAAGATATTAGCTTTCAGAAGTGCATTTAAAACCTTTTTATTTAATTTTGGGTTCAGAATAAATCTGCAACTGATAGCTTCCAACAAATGGTCAGAAACCGGAACGACTGATCTGAGTAAACTCCAGAGTACTAATCAGTGGAAACCCAGCCTCAAGGCAAACGATGTAAGCGGAGTTTTCTCCTACTGCTATTAGTGGCGATGGCTAAGGCTGGAAGGAAGGTATTCTGGTTTCCCCAGAGACCCGACTGCCGGCCAGGAAGGCTGGTATCCCGTCCTCGCAGATGACCCAACTCATAAAGGGAAGGCGTTTATTAAAGTGTTCATTTGATATTGCTGTCAACAATAAATGAACAATTTGAATAAAATATTTTGTGAAAAACGACCACTGAACAATTTGAATAAAATGTTTTGTGAAAAACGACCACAATATCAAAATAGGAAACACAAAGTGATTTTGGTTGATAATAATGCACTATCACACACAGAGCAAAACCATTGATTGGAAACAATTCAGGTGTTCAGTTTAAAAATGTTATTGCTTGCAGCTTACTCACTAGAGTTGGCTCTGTTGATTATTTATTTGCATCGATGTGGCCAATACTTTATCAGTACTTCACTTCTTATGAGAATGTACGAAAATGGCTTGGTCACTGGTACGCACAAAAGAGCTACAGTTTTTCTGGCATGGCATTCATAAATTACCAGAGATATAAGAAAAATGTATAGCTAATTATGGACAATATTTTGAATAAAATGTTTTTTTACATTCTTATGCAATAAATGTTTATTTTCTATTTGATAATTCCAGTCTTGTATTTATATACCTCATTTAGCTTATGCTGCATGGAGGGGCATGTAGCTCTTAGCAATCCATCTGGAAGCCTTTTTGTAACTATGAATGTAACTTTATCTCAACAGATGGCAAAAGGCCATGTAGAAGGCCAAAAAAGCAGATGGACAGATAGAATCAACAAAGATGCAATAGAGCTGCATGCAGATAACTGGAAAGAAATAGCACAAGACAGGCAGAGATGGAGCAGGCTTGTTAAGGGACAGAAGATCTTCATGGACTGTAATGCCAACAGAAAAAATAAGAGTGGCGGTAAATCTCTCTCTCAAGCTCTCCTGTTCCTCTATTAGTTGATTCCTAAAATTCATATTCCACTAAAACATTTAACATTTAAAATCATTATTTCCGTAGGTAGCCAATGCTGGATTTTGTACTTCCTGTTCTGTTTTTTTTAAATTTTGAGTTTTTATGGAATATGTGCATATGACATGTTTCTGAATTTCAGATTTAACTAGGCAATAATATATTCTAAAAGATTTTTTGTTTTTGCATATATAGTGAAATTTACTTTCCTTAATGGACACTTACAACAATTAAACACTTCTTGTAAAAGGAATATTTTATTTTCCTCACCGAGATTCTATTGGTTATAATAAATTGACATTCAGCGGATATAGATGCTTATTTTTTACTTCTTTATTCAAACAAACATAAATAAACGAAGATCAGGGATAAAATTCTGATTGATTCAGGGACAATCTCTATGTGAAGTTTTACTTTATTTCATATTACATAATAATTTGTAATTTATGTGTATTTTCTTTACTTTTTAGATTATGTTGTCAGCATGTAGTACATACTTTGATTCGATATTTTCTAAACATGAAGAAAAAGATCCTATTGTTATTTTGAAAGATGTAAAGTTTGATGACATCAAGGCTTTAGTTGAATTTATGTACAAAGGTGAAATTAATGTAGAAAATGTAAGTATTTATTTTTTATCCATATTTGTTATTGGTTTATTGACAGTGTTAGGTAGTAGATGCTGTTGCAATGTAGTATTTCACTTGATCTCATTATTCAATCTGTCAAAAGAAATATATTTAGATGGTAAGGTATGTATTTCCTGACTAAATGAAAAGCAACCTTGTAAACCTTTTGAAACTGCCTCTGTCGTTCAATAGATAAAATCCTAATTATCCAATATTCTGAAAACTTCTATTGTGTTAGCTTTCTCCAGTGTAACTTCTCATTTTGTTGTCCCTTTTGTCAGCTCTCTTAATTACTACTTACAACTTACTTTAGATTAATAGATAGATAAAAACTAACTTTATTCTGGAACAAAGTCCCTTTAGAATAACAAAACAGTACAAAATTAAAAGATTACATCTGGCCTAAATAATAACAATAAGAAAAAATAAAAAAAAGTAAAGAAAACATTTGTTATATACAAAAGAAATAAACCTATATACAAAACCCTTAAAACTATGTACAGTGGTTAAATATTATAAATTTATGGTTCAAAATATATATACATATACAATAAGTTCTGTGTTTCTTCTAAGAGAAAAGAAAAGTGAATCTGACAATATAAAATGCCTGAGTATTTAAATGATATCTGAATGCATCATGATCATTTCTTGACGTAACTACAGATACAAATTTAAAGGCATAAAAAAAAAGAAAAAAGTAATAATAATATTGAAAACAAGCAATAGATGCATTCATTGGCATCAAGATTAGAAAACTCTTGTAGTGTCCCTAGCAAAGAACATTTCTAACATTTGTATAATGCCAAAAGGTTAGAGAGGTATCTGACTGTTTTTGGGATAGGAATTGGAATAGGAGGGTTTTGAATGTGGATATGGAGAGGGAATGCCAAATTTTTATAGGGAAGAATTCCAGAAATTGGTGGAGTGAGCAATAAAGGAGTTTTGGAATGAGGCAGATCTTTGAGAAGGGATGTAAAGTTCAGTAGGTGAAGATCTTGTGAAAAGGGAATGAGTTGAGGACTTAAATTAGATAAGGTTGTAGGCATAAGAAGGACGATGTTTATTGATGATTTGATAGAGGAACATAACTAGGAAATATTGTCTTTGGAAGGAGGGGAAGATACATGAGAGTATCTCCAATTTTAAATCTTACGTAGCTATTCATTAGTCTTTTCAGCCTATCATGGACCTTCACCGAGAGGCCATCCTATACCGCATAGCTTTAGTCAAAGTGGGGGAAGATGAAACTGCAAACTAGGAGTCTACGTGTATGTTGAGGTAGGAGATGGCGGAAGTGATGGAATACTTTTAGAGTAGAAATTGTCCGTCAAGAGATGGGAGACATATGGTGATTCCAGGAGAGGGTTTGATCAATGAAAAATCCTAAATTTTTAACTGAGAAGGAGATTATTTAATCATTAAGGTGTAGTATGGGGAAGTCAGAGTCGGGTCTCAGTTTTAGTGTCACGAAATATCAGCGAAAAGTTAGTATTCTTAAATAATATGAAAAATCTTTTCAAGCTGTCAGTTATTAATTTCTTCTCCTTACCATAATCTTAATTTTTTTTTAAGTTCTAAATGCCAAAATTTTCAGACCTACATATGTTTTCTACCCTATGTTAGCATTCATCATCTCTTTCCTTAAGATTCACCGTAGGTTTTCCTTGTTTTCACCATTCTTTTTATCTATCAGCAACTTTCCCTAAGCCATTCTTTGGATAAGATGTAATTAAAAAAATATAATTGTTAAGCATTTAGTGGCATTTGCATTACATCAGTGAGAAATTTTTTCTCATGTAGAATAATGCCAAACCTATATCTCATAGGGCAGGTATTGTGGACCTGAATGATGCTAGAATTAAGTGCTTGGTGTAGCTTGCCAAGGTCCAGATTAAACCCTTAAATAGTTGATAATGGTTTTTTTTTTTTTTTTTGGAACATTAAAAAATATTATTTAGCAATTTATCAACATTTTTTTTCAATTCAAGTAATCAAAAGTTTGCCTTTTTAAATTTAAAAGGAATTAAATTTACATGATTAATGCCTGCTATGAAAATACTCAAAAATATAAATGAATGCAGGAAAAGAAATTGTTTTCAATTTTATTTTTTTTAACTTGTATTTTCTTTGAAAATTAATTCTTTTTACAAGAGAACCTATTTTTTGTTTTGTAAAATATGCATTAACTGCGATAGATTCAATTTGTCTGTCACCTTTTTTTTTTTTTTTTTTTGTTCTATCAGCTGTGGTCTGACTGTTAAAAAAAATGTAATAAGAAAATATGAAGTAGTTGTGTAAGGTGACTAAATGATACTCCATACGTTGACTTGCACTGCTACTAAAACTGTTTATAAGAACATTAATAAAACAACATAATGAATCGTGTATTTTATTTACCTTGAACAGTTCTGGACATGAATATCCTAGATTTGCTAAGCTTAGCCAACCATCATATGCTTAATCTGTTATTTTACTTTCTGGAAAAGTAGATTTAGATTCTACCTATTTTCTCAAACATTTTTAAAACAGATATTCCTTGCAAATAGTTTATCTTTAAAAAAAAAAAAAAAATCAGGTTCATAATTTATTGTTTTAGTTTTTCAAAATACTTCAAGTTATTGATATTCTGTGATTCGTTCATTCATGTTCTGGTTTATTTATTTACTTTATTATTTTCAGTCACAATTAAACACACTATTACAGACAGCTGAAGAACTTAGGATTAAGGGTTTAGCTGCTGTGTCATGGAGGTCTGAAGAAGGTTCTTGGCGGAGTGTTGAAACTCATCATGCTGCTCAAACGGGACAACATAAAGTTTATAGTGCTTATCAGCAACCCAGTGGAAGAAAGAGAAAAAGGAGACCAGATTTTAATGAGATTTATAGCCCAAAAGTATCTTGTATTTCTAACCCTGCAACTTCAACAGATGATTTTCCAGTTAGTCAATTAAATCTATTATTGTGTTGTGATATAGTTATTAAAGTCTTATTTTTTAAATTGAATTTACTTTTTCATTGTATGATAATCTTTTCCATGAAAACACTGATGTGGGTATAAAGTTAATATATCTTTAATATATTTATGCTAGAGTTTTATGTTAAATTATTCTCAGAATATTCGTCAAAATAATTTTTAATGGCTATGTCAAGGTTAGCTCAGTAGTAAATATATATAGGTTATCGGTCATTTAGCTTAAGCTTCAAAAAGGTAATTTCACCAAACAGTGGTGAGTAATGTCTTCTACAGCCAGTAGCCACCCTTTAAAGAAGTAACAGTGCTCAAATTTCAAACATCTATTTCCTAATTGGCCACGCAGGCCTTGGTATACATGTTTTATTTTTTATGCTGATATTTAACATTTCTCGTTACTTTTTTTTTCTAATGAATTAGAATAGTATTATTTAACTTAAAAAACTTCCATCGATCAAAAAACCTTTTACTTTATTAAATTCATTGATGCTTGTTGATAGTAGACCCCACTCCAAACCTTTATCTTAATAAAATTGTTCTTCTATAAATAATATTGTAGTGTCAAATGTTCTTCAACACTGTTGATAATACCTGAAATGAAAAAGTCTATAAGAGGAAGGCATTTATATTCTTCTTTTTTTTTTTCACTGTAAAGAGTTCCATTCATAGTTAACAATCTAAAGAAACACTTATTTCTAAATCCCTCCTCCATAATTGATCCCAGTTTTCATCCACCATCCAATAGCCATATATTTCCATAAAGTCTTTTCCAACTTCTCAGATTCCCTTAGCTAACAGACTCTTCCCCTTTATTTCCTTATTTTCTCTCCCATTACAATAATATAATTTTGCATTTCTAGCTTTATGGTAAAGATTATTCACCACATGAATAAATTTCATTTCTATATTTTTTCTTGGTCAAAGCAATTACCATTTCTTCTTTCCTGACTTTTAAAGGACTTGCGAAGATTGACAAAGTATACTGAAATCTCCTTATCCTTGTTTATACATGGTGATAAGCATTAGTAAAAATTAGGTATTGATTGTGTGCTTCTCTAGCTCCTGAATCTGTTCTACTCCTCTCCTACCTTTGGTAACCAGCAACTCTTCTCTCACCTCCAGGATTCTGTAGTATATCTTTCCTGACAGAATAAGGGCATTATAGCACAATGATAACATATGCCTTCTTTATTATTACAATCTCTTCTTGGATGTAGTTCCCTGGATGAAACTGTTTTTAGAGTAGCTTTAATATATGGCGGTAGTGGCTTCATCTAGATCAAGTGACCTGGTAGATATCTTGGTGATGGCTTCTTTAAGTCTATTTTAAAAAAAAATATAATTCTCAGGAATCATTGATGTTATACTTTCATCTTAACTTATATATTGTCTTATAAGTGACCCCCTCTAATATTTAATGATCTATTCATTCCGCAACAATCGAGAACATAAAATTTCTTTTGGGGCCTTTATTTTCTCATGCTTAGAAAAGAAAGGCCTCAGAAAACTTTCTGGTTCTCTTTAACATTTGTTAAAGCTTTTGGTCAAAATTTTATGATAGCTTGAATGCTAAGAGTATTTTTGGTTGGCAAGGGCCATCCTCCAGTTCAAAAAGCTCTTACACTTTTTCTTGTATAATGTTCACTGACCAGTTAATTTAAATTTTTACTTATTCTTTCTGTTCTAAAGAATGTTGTGATGCTTTAAGTTAGTTTTTTTTTTTTTAATGTTGAGCACTAATTAATATACCGTCCCATGAATGAAAAGGATTTTGTACCATTCCTCTACCTCTTCCTGGCAATATTGAACCGCAGGTTCTGGCTTCAGACGATATGATTTAATGATTTTCTTCTATCTGACAGTTTTGCTTGTGCTTCCTCTTTTTCATATTTTGTTCAACATGAAAAGATAGTGATTAATTCTTATCTTAAATCTCTGCCCAATACTATCATCTGAGAGATTCCCTGTTTTTTCCCTCCTGACCATCATGTAAATAATGGTCCTTTTATTAGGACTGAAGCTTCTGTAATGCTTGCTGAACGCACTTCCCTGGAAAAGACCTGCAAGGTCTGGTAAAAACGTTGGCTTGAAATAAAATAGTTTTTCCACTATTTTAGTGGAACTAATTATAGTAATATCTGCTATTGATCTGCAACAGCATAAGCTCAGTTGTGAGCTTATACTGTCATTAAGAATACCATTAGTATATATAAATGGAAGGCATAATGATAAGTACTCTGCAAGAGCCTCTTACAGACTGATAAATGTTATTGAGAGTTCCCAATGCTAATTCTAAATATTAATTATCCTTATGTTGTCAAATGTTTTTATACAGTTAGAGATGAAAGGCCATATTAGTATTCTATCTAATCCGTCTTCGTTTGCGAACACCTTCACTTTGAACAACATTTAATGTTAATGTTTACATTTAATTAATAATGTAGTTAAAACAAATAAATAGGTTTTATTTATTTCATATAACGTAAATAATTCATAACAACAAAAATCTTTAGGTGTGAATATCTCTTAAACAAAGCAGTAGTGGACATACCTTAAGAGAAAATGTTTTTCTTGTTTTGAGGTCCTTAGTTCATTTTTGCAGTTTGGCCACTTAACTCTGAAATACCCTGTATAATAAGTAAAACAAAATAAATAAATAATAATCCTTAAAACTATACAAACATATAAACAAATTAATTTTAAACATTAATATTATAATTTTTACTCATAATAAAAACTACTGCCATTTTTTTTTTTTGGTCCCTCCCCCCAATCAAAATCAAAAGTCTGCACCATGGTCATGAATGCAAAGCTTCCCTTGTGAGGAATTAGTTTCAAGTATTCTTGTTATGAACAATTTACTTATATTTCTTGTAGTTAATATTAATCAATTTAACTATTTAACCGCTTAGACAAAACTTTAAATAATTGATTAAAAAATTTAAAAAATAAATAAAATGCACAACAGATTAGCTTCATTCGGGTCACATTTTTCTTTATTTTTGTTTTGAAAATAGGTGTATATTTATACAAAGTATTTACTTTCCTGGGAATTTAAATAGAATTTTGAAATCATTTAAGCTGCCAAATACTGTTTTTATGTTTTGTTTTTGAACATTTTATTATTTGGTTTTGAATTATAAATGTCGGAACGTAGAGGAGGGTGGGGAAAAAAAGTTGAGAGTTTATAAGGAACTTTTCTCACATCAATTCAATTTATAAATTTCTAACTGGATACATTAACTTAGAGGATCCATAGAAATGCTCATAGCTTTAAAAAGTGAAAAAAATTGTTAGTGTCAAAATGTACTTCTCAAACTCCAGCTCAATTTAAATATGGAGCGGGGAGGCCGAGCGAGCTAATGCGTGTGCAATACGCGCGTTTCCCGGCAAAATGATAAACAGATGTTTACAAGATATAATAATTACGAGTTCCCGTCCTGGTGCTGTCGGGGCTTTAAATTCTGACATTGATCTCCTGCCCTCCCGGCAGGGGAAAATGAAAATTCAAAAGAATCTCGATTTAAATACAAAACCTATTTGATATAAAGGGTCATACTCCCTTTAAAAAATAATAATAATTTATATATATATATATATATATATGACCTATCCAGAATTTTCATTTATGTGTGCAGACCAGTAGTCTAATATACTTTTCATAAAATAAAATAAAAAGTGTAACATGAGTATGTGTTGCTATAAGAGCTTACGTTACACTAGGCAGCTGTGCTCATTATTGTTTATTGTATCTTTGTAGGGTACCGAATATCTGTTTAAAAAAACCTTTTGGAATTGAGTTTTTATAACTCGGCAAAAATTTTATTTCTACTTAAGTTACTTAAATCCCTAAAATTAATAATGTACGTTACTTTAATTTAAATAGTTATAAAATAATGGGGGGGGGGAACGTATAATATTTAAGAAACACGGAATTACTTATTTGGTTTGCTGTTTCTGTATTTTTACACCTAGCTTATTTTATTTATTTATTAAAGATAATAAAATAATTTTTAAACTAAATATGTTTACTTAGAAATGAAAGGAAAAGCAGATAAATATTTCTTGGATGGGAAAGTCTTAAAGCTGGAAACACTGTTCTTAGTAAAAAACTTAAGATATCCATGGTATGAGCTAGGTGCTGGTAGCCTCTGATGTAGCTATACCTCTCACAATGTAGCTCACTCTTCACCACTTTTATTTAATACTAATTATCTGTGTAAATATGTATCATAAAAATTTAGGACTTTTTTTGTTTTATTGTTATAACCTAATCTTCACTGATGACTAAAACTTGAAAATTTATGCATTAGTACCCAATTATTTCCATGGATAAGATCCCGCATCAGTTTTTTTTCTGGTTTGCCTGGTGAGCATTTTCCTATTCACCCCTTAAGGCCTTCTTAATAAGTCATCATTAAATGTTCTATTTTTTTCTCAGTGAATTTTCTTGAAGATATCAACCCTCTTTTTCTAAACATTTGTATAAATCTCTTAATCTATCCTGCTCCTCCATCTCAACTTCTCACAAAAAAGGGATCGCTGTTAGTTCAATTAAAGTTCTGTACCTCCTTACAACTAAATCATTATAATCAGGTCACCTTCCTCTCTCTTCCAATCCTATTTTTTTAAAAAGGAGACTAGGATTAGAAGTGTTATCACTGTCTCCTTTTCATCACCATCCTTATTAAAATTATCGTTTTTTTTAATGTGTTTATTCTTTTTTTTATTTTATTATTTATTTATGATATTTACAACTGTATTAAGAAAAAATACATTCAGTAAATGTAATAACAGAAAATAAAAATATGAAAACACTTGTTGAGAAACTACCCACTGGTAGCAGTCTAAAAAAAAAAAAGTAAAAGTGTATTTACAATAGGAGATCTCGAGGCCATCTTCTTTTCAGATGCCTTGGAGGATTATCAGGGATCGAGAATTTGGTTGGTTCTGATGTTTATTATGGA